GTGCTAATGAATGCAGATTCAGACACAAATCATCCACACTTAAGAGATGAGAAGTACTGGAGATATCGACAACCAGGTTCCCATATTTGCTAAGCAATATTATGGTCTGTTTGCTTTGTGCGAACTCAGTCATTCTTGCCTGCTAAACATCTCACTGCTTGGCACAATCTACAAATGAGGCCTACGGGTATCTTTCCATCTGAGCTCTTTTTTTAAGCAAATGTTTTGTAATTTTTTTCTAAATCCTTGATTTCCTTTTCTTTGCAGGTTCAACACCATCCAATCTTTACTGTATAGTTATTTTTACACCAAGAACAACAGAATTGAGCTGTATCCAATTATGCATGCATAGGAGCATGGCAGAACTTGTTTTTACAGCTTCCAGTCCTCATTGTTATGGAAATTACCTTCTTATCCTCAAGCAGCATTTGGTAACTCTAGAACATAAGGTGTGTAGCTTCTAGCAATCCAGATTTTAATTTTTTTTTCCAAACTCCCAACCTTCTAACTAACTCATCCCCTTGTAATGTCAATATTTACACAACAGGTTTGATACCATTACCTAATAAAGCACAATTTTAAAACTGGGAAGCACACTTTGGAGCCTTTGTCAAATTAAGATCCCATAGTATAAACCAACCCCAAAGCCTCTATTCTAAATGCTTTCATGGCTTTCTGCAAGTAACTGATGAACCCTTGACTCAGGGGATTCCACTTAGCCATCAATAGATTTGTTCTCTATAACCAATATAATTGTACCCAGGTTGCTTCTACAGATCTTTCTCTAGGAAATCTTTAGGAGAATCATGATAACCTAGCTTGATATGGATTTCCACATGCAGTACAGATGTTACATCCAAACTAAATCCCCTTTCTCAGCACAGAGTTGTTTTCCAACATTTTCAGCTCTTGGCTGAACCCAATTTACACTCCCCCCTGCCCCCTGAGAGTGCTGGCCAGGGCATGATTCAGGCATCTCTGCCTTCTGTTTTTGTGGCATGCCCCAAACTCTGCACTTTGCAAGAGAGGCTATGAGGACCAGGGACATGCCTGATGAAACCTTTACTGTCACCCCATAAGCTCTGAAAGGCCATTTTCTAGCCCCAAGTCACCGGTGGCAAATCTGGTACTGCTACCGGTGGGGATGTGTTACTTACCAAACGTAGATCTCCGGCCAGGTAAGGTTCCTTGTCGTGTCTGGAGGCTATGCAAAACACTGCTCTCAAAATGCCCTGCGGGCCAGGATGGGGGCATCTCGGCTGGGCTGACATAAGCACCAGGATACGGGCTGGAGTAGGATCCATTGACCGAACGCATTAGAGTGTTGCCATACTGGTCACGCCCTCCAGCGCCCAGCAATAGCGGACTTTGGTAGCCCCCGTCTCGACCAGCGCTGCTACCCCCAGGAGGGCTGTGGGTGTAGGAAAAACCTGATGATGGGTGAGGGTTGCCAGCATTGAAGTGGGATGCCTCAGCACCAGCTGGCTGGCCCCATCCTGGGTGACTGCCCAGAGGGTGACCTTGGTGGGCAGGGTCACAGCTTTGCAAGTAGGGCAGGCCCTGGAGCATTGAGGAAACTCGGCTGGTGGGCACGTACACGGCTGGACTTGCTGGTGAGTGTAGGAAATTGCTGGAATCGTGGGAGTAGGCCGACTGGCCAGGGTTTGGAGCAAGTGCCAAGCTCTGGTACATTTTATATCCTTCAAAACACAGACCACTTGGGCAAAGCAGCAGCAGCGGGGACTCTGTCAAGACAAGCCAACCCCTTGGATGATGAGGCCCAGAACGGGAGCGTGAAGGGCTTGGCTAATACTTCTGGGCTGTTAGAACTGAAGTAGTTTTCAAGCACCTGGAAAGGGAAAGAGAGAAAAGTCAAGACCGCCGCCAGACACGTTCCCTCTCCATCAACCAGTTTAGCTTCTTGGAGGTCCCTGTTCTAGATCTGGAAGGTGGATTAGAACCAGCAAAGAGGCAGGAAAAAAAATTGAGCTCATGATACCTAAGTTTAGAAGTGCCAACTTTTAGATATCTAAAAGTATTGGTTGGTTGGCAAGCTTCCCCATCAGGATAATTCTTTTGATAAGCCCCCCACATCTGCATCTCATCCTTTCTTTAGGGAGACCAGAGCAATAAAAGGATGGACATCTGGCTGAATGCTATCTGTTTAAAAGTTAATCTTCTCTGGAGACTTCAGGGACACCGTCATCTCCTTTTCTTGGCACCAACGTGGAAGTGGCATGTAATTGCCTTTTTTTTTTTTTTACTTCCCAGTCTAGCCTATGACCACGGGCTTTCCAAGTGGTCTCCCTTCCAAATATGAATGAGGTCCAACTAGCTGGCTTTCAGTGGAAGCTCAAGTTGGCAGTGGAGAGAATAAAAACCCTAACCCTTAAAAAGTTAGAAACTTCACACCAGACTTGAGATTGTGCCAGGATCACATGTTCAACGATATGCCTGAAATGTCCTACTGGCTACCTGGGTCACCACTAGAATTCTGCAGAAGATTGAAAGGGTGTTTTCCATCTTTGAAAATCTATGTGAAATAGCTCCACAAAGGGGTCTTCCTTTGCTAATCAGTAGCTTTTGTGTAAGTACGGTACCTTCATGGAAGCCACCAGCAGGAAGATGGGTTGCCTCGTGAAGGCAGAGGAACTCAAGAAGGGTTCTTCCTGCTAAACCCGGTTTGGAAATTACTTCTTCCACTGAAAGTGGGTAGCCCCATATGCGAGAGGACTTACTCTCAAGAAAGGAAAAGCTCCCCGGGACAGTGGATCTGGGTTTGTTTGCTCATTTATTTAGCAAAGTGATATAGCTGCCCGTCTCACCAAAGCAACTCTGGGTGGCGTACAACAGTCAGATAAAAAGACAGATAAAATACAAGAGAAGAAATATTGAAAACAAATTAATGAATGGGTTGTTACGCAATCCAAAAGCCACTGAAGTCAGCTGGATCAGCTGCTGATTATATACAGCATTCCTGTACTCAACATGTTAACTACTTTCTCTACATGTGTAGCTACTCAGTATAATCCTACTGATCTTAAAAAGGGCAACTTCTAGAAAACAGATTGTAAGTTGCACTGTTCAGTATTCTTTATTCTGCAAGCTGTGTGGATTGTAAGCACATTTCTCCTACTGAAGGGCCTTGATAAGGGTGTCTTAAAGCTCCCCTGACTTCTGGATATGTTGGGATTACAAATTCCCAGCCAGCACAGTGATTAGCTGAAGGCTGTGGAGGTCAAAGGTCAACATACGAATCTGGATGCTAATTGGAAAAGGTTGCATTAAACATATGGTTTAATGATAGGCTTATCATTTTAAAACTGGAAATTGCAGGCTTGAGAGATGCAGTTAGGACCATGGCAGGGGAAAAGAGGAAGACTCATAGTATCAAATGTTGGAGGGTCCCCCGCCGAGGCCATCCAGCCCAACCCCCTTCTCAGTAGGAACCCATATTAAAGTATTCAGTCAGATGGCTGTCCTGTCTGAAGACTTCCAGCAGTGGGAATCACCATCTTCTTTCATAATCAATTTCATGTATTCCAAGATTCACACATCCATGGCTATGACAAATATCCCCAAAGAAGCTATCATCCTCTCATGAACTAAGTTAATCCTGTCTAGGAAAGACAATATAATCTAGAGCAATGTTTCTCAACCTGGGCAAATTTAAGATGCATGGCTGGCTGGGGAATTCTGGGAGTTGAAATTCATGCATCTTAAAGTTGCCCAGGTTGAGCAACATTATTCTACAGGATTCCCCCTTGGGGAAGATTGCCCTTGGATTGGATGGAAGGAGATGCATGCTTCAATCCCAATGTTTGAATAAGGGGGGGGGGAATCAAAAACTGCATTTCAATTCAACTGACAGATACAGGAGGTGCAATTTGTTAGTGTATGACAAATCACAAGCTCATGTGTATGGATCAAGGAGAGCCCACAAAGAGTTTATAAATACTGTGCTAAACCCAGTTCAGAAATCCTCTTGCAGAGGCTCAGATGAAAATGGTCCTTTTGCCTTGGAATAAGTTGGTCTTCCCTTGGTGGCATTCCAGTCACTAGAAGAGAATATGTGTAGCCCGGAGTGAACTGTGGAGTCCATGGAGTTCTCTGAGCTTGGCTGTTTTCTTGCAAACGTTTCATTACCCGGCTAGGTAACATCTTCAGTGCTAGAATGGAATGGAATGCCATTCCATTCTAGC